AACCTCTCAGTCGCATGAATACATCAAGCTGCTCCAAGCACACACATACATGTGCACACTCCACCAGACTGCCAGGAGCGTGCAGGATTTCCCACAGTACAGAATGTGGTAATTACAGGCCAGAGCTCCACAGTCAAACCAGAACAATCGGCATATGGATCCCTGTAGTTATTTAACTCCGACCTCTGGATAAATCTTATTCTTGCTCATATCTCAGATCACACTTAGGTCCATCATCAATCTCACTGCTATTCTGCAAAGATCCTAACCTCATCCACTTCTCTCAATAATGCTAACTGGGGCAGCACAGTGGCTCAGTGGTTAGCATTGCTGCCTCTCAGCACCAGGGACCCAGGTTCAATTCTCAGCCTCAGTTGACCCGCTGTGTGGAGTTTGCACTTTCTCCCCATGTCTGTGTGGATTTCCTCCAGGTGCTTTGGTTTCCTCCCAAAGTCCAAAGATGTGCTGGTTAGGTAGATTAGCCATGCTAAATTATCCAGTTTCTAGGAGAATTAGCCATGGGAAATGCAGGATTATATGGGTGGGGGGTGTGGTTCAGGGTGGGATGCCCTTCAAAGGGTTGGTTTGGACTCAATGGGCAGAATGGCCTGCTTCCGCACTGTAGCGATTCTGTGATATTAACTGCCTAACTGTCACAGGTTCCTCACCTCACCAACTCCTCTATTTTCTTAATTATATGCTTCAAATATGAGCTGAATTCCAGAAGTGAGGTGAGGTAAGTGACAGCCCTTGACATCATGGCTGCATCTGAGAGTGTGGCATCAAGGAACTCCAGCCGAACTGGTATCAGGGGGCAAACTCTTCAGTGGTTGTGGTCACATAGGAAGATGGTCACGGTTGTTGGAGGTCAGTCATCTCAGCTCAGGGACATCTCTACAGAGAGTTCCTCAGGGTAATGTCCTAGGCCCAACCATCTTCAGCTATTTCAATGACCTTTCCTCCATCATAAAGGTCAGAAGTGGGGATGTTCGCCAATGATTGCACAATGCTCAGTACCATTTGCGACTCCTCAGGTACTGAAGCAGTCCCTGTTCACGTGCAACAAGATCTGGACAATATCAAGGCTTGAGCTGACAAATGGCAAGTGACATTCCTGCCACACAAATGCCAGGCTATGACCATCGCCAATAAGAGACAATCTAACCACTGTCCCTTGGACATTCAACGGAGTTACCATCACTGAATCCCCCACTATCAACATCCTGAAAGTTATCATTGACCAGAAACTCAACTGAACTCACTGCATAAACACAGTGGCTACAAGAGCACGTCAGAGGCTACAAATAGTGCATTGAGTAACTCACCTCCTGACTCCCCAACCCCTGTCCACCAGTTTAGGAGTGTGATGGAATACTCCTCACTTGCCTGGATGAGTGCAGCTCCAACAACACTCAAAATGCTTGACACCATCCAGGACAAAACAGCCGCTTGATTGGCACTACATCCACAAGCACTCACTTCCTCCACCACCACTCAGTAGCAGCAGTATGTACTATCTACAAGATGCACAGCAGAAATTCACCGAAGATCCTGAGCCAATACCTTCCAAACCCATGACCACTTCCATCTAGAAGGACAAGGGCAGAAGATTCATGGGAACAGCACCACCTTTAAGTTCCCTTCCAAGCCACTCACCATCCTGACTTGGAAATATATCGCCGTTCCCTCACTGTCAAAATCCTGGAATTTCCTCCCTAAGAGTATTGTGGGTCAAACCAGAGAAGCTGGACGGCAGCAGTTCAAAAAGGCAGCTCACCACCACCTTCATAAGGGCAACTAGGGATGAGCAAGAAATGTTAGCCAGCCAGCATTGCCCACATCTCACAAATGAACAAAAAGAAATTGATTCAAATTCATCACCAGTTATTGATTCAGAACTATTATGATACAGATAGCAAGCCATATCAAATCAGCCTCAAAATCACTGGAATTATAACACAGTGAAATTAAAACTTCGATGACCTTGACAATTGTTCAATTGTACTGAACTAAATTTTACAAATAAAGGCTCCTGGACATCATATATATAATTTGAACAAAAACAAACAATTTATTTTTAATAATTTAACTTTAGTACAACACAGAAGAGCAACAGACAATCCAGTTAATATCTATCATCTAAGCCTAATCTTCTTTGAGTACAAATCTCCACTTACCAGCAGACTGAGACACAGTTAAGGGATCAATTAAAACAGAATATAAAAGAATTCGCATTTGCCAGTTCAATAAGCATTTCAATAATGAACACTAGGCCTTCATGTAATCCTTTGACAATGGGTTATAATACAGGTAGATAGGACTGCATATCTTGCTTCAGTTCTGAAGTCACCACTCAATGAAATAGCTTCCACTGACCTCTGGAGACTTTTACTTATTTCTTACAGACTAGGGATTTTTTTTTTCCCTCAGAACTTTCAACAAGTTGATAACTGAAGAATTATGAGCAAGCACGAAACCGAAAACAGCTTCCCAATCCAGCAGCTTCCGAAACACCACCTCCTGCCCTAAAACCCAGTCAGAGCCAGTTCACTTTTCGTTTTCTGTTTCTTTTCAACATCTCTACGGTTGGCAGGCTAGCACCTGTCTTCCCTTGAGTG